GGTTAGGGGTGATGAGGCAGGCAGATAGAGTGGTTAGGGGCGATCAGGCAGGCAGGCAGGAGAGCCGTTAGGAGCCAGAGGTCCCAGATTGTGAGAGGGATATCAGACTGCCAGTTTAGGCCCAATCCTGCGCTGTATCCTCTTGCTATCCAAGACCCCCTCTCCCTACCCCCCCACCCCCCTACCCCCCACCCCATGCACGAATATCATGCACCAGGCCTCTAGTAAATTTATAATCCCTTATCACTTTTGGCCTTGTGTGTTCCTCCTTCAGTGACACTAACATTATTAATTCACAAATTACCACAAGCTTTGTGGTTTTAAACAACACAAATTATCTTGTAATCCTGGATGTTAGAAATTCTGAAACCAAAAGTGAGGGCACACTCCACTTCCATCATCACATCTCCTTTTTCTGACTTTGACCTTTTTTTCTCCTCTTGCAAGGACCCTTGTGATTGCATTGGCTCCACCTACATAATCCAGGATGCTTTCCCCGTCTCACAGTCCCTAGTTTAACCACCTCTGCAAAGTCTCATCTGCTGCAACAGACGCAACAGAAGTTTTATTTCTTATAGTTCCGGGGATGAGGGAGTCCAAGCTCAAGGCATTGGGAGATTCCGTTTCCAGGGAAGGCCACTTCCTGGTTGTCTCACTGTGTCCTCCCGGGTGGAAGCTCTCTGCAGTCCCTTTATAATAAGAGCACCAATTCCACGCATGAGGGCTCCACTCTCAAACCTGATCACTTCCCAAAGGCCCCACCTCTTAAAACCAATAGCGATAAGACTTCAACACGAATTTTGAAGAGATACAAACATTCAGTCTCTATTTATATCTACCTATCATCCGCACCTATTGTTTTTAGTATTAAAACTAGAACTTTGTACAATGTCCGCCCAGAATACAGGTTGGGTGTAGGGTAATACATATTTTTGAGAATCTAATATCCCTGCCACTAGTTTTACAGTCTCTTTTTTCACATATATGCTCATTTTCAAATACTTAAAAGATAAATTAATGTGTTTTAATATCCAGTATGATCCAATTCAGTTATTCCCAAAGCGCCATCTTCTAGTTATTTCCATGTTGAATTTTTACATCACCTCAAAGGGAATAAAAATTAAAATACAACAAAGGTCAGTAATGTCTAATCAGTAAGGCTGATGTTAATATCTATTTAGAGTTTTGTATTTAAAAGAAACTAAATCATATGAACTACACAAGGTTCTAGATATTAAAACAATTTTTAAGTATGTGGCGTTATATTGAATTTATATTAATACAAATTTTGTTGCTTTATTTTAGGCATTAATCCAGGCAATACCAAAGTCTTCAGCAAGGAAAAGTGTCAGATTTTGTTGTAGCTGTAGTCTGAGAAAGATAAACATATAAGGATGTCACTTGCTAAAAGGTAAGAGTCACAGGTATTCTCTCATTACTTTCATTTTCTATAGCTCTAGTCAATTTCACAGCCTATGCCAGGACCGAACAGGGAAATTGGAAAACGACAAAATCAATTTGCAGAAGTGAAGTCCTATTTTCTTTTACACCTTCTTCTCCAGAGTTGCTATCATTCTTGTGTTGTGTGGTATTATTTCCCACAGTAGCCTGGGCATAACTGATAAAAGTTATTATCTTAACGTGGAAGCAGAAAAAATAACCCAAAAAGGCCACTAGGCAATTTTCTCATTTTCCAAAGTTGCTGCTTTCATAATCCTTCATCTGTGCTAGAATTCAAATGTAAAGACTTTTGTACTCTTAAACAACCATGATTATAGCAATCTTCGTTGCTTCTGGTTCCTAGATAATAAATGTTAAAAGAATAAAGCTCTAAATGTCTAATTTGAGCTAAATATAATCCTTCAAATGTTCTGGTTTGCTTTTTCAATTTTCATCCTTACTAAATTTTACTTTAAACTCTAAATAAATGAGAAAGTTACTTCAGAGGACAGTATAGTACTTAATACTTTAAGAAGAAAACTGGTTTACTTTTGTTGCTGCCTTCCTTGATTGACAGGTTTTTATTAAATTTCAAATTAGATCTTTTAAAAAAACAAAGCTGTCGCCTTTGGCTATTTAGTATTAACCCTGAAACTATTGGCGCAATTTCCATATTTTTCTACTTATTCTGTTTTTTAAAAATGCATTTCTAATCATGAAGAAGTCTTTATCATGCAATTCCATCTGATGGTAGAAAGAGTCATTTACAGTGCCACATTAACAGCAGCCTTGCAATTACAACATTGCTTTTTTTCTATTTATATTTTAATTGTTGTTGTTTTTTGTATTCTGTCCACCCCCAACTTCAGAAATTTTTGTCAGTCAAAAAAATCAGAAAACTTTTAGTTAACTAAACAATATTTGCAAGTCTCTTTATTAACTATGGGAGAATTAAAAAGAAAACTGGCCAAGTTTCTTAGGCTGAGGTACATAGCTACAACAAAATCAAAACACAAAAGAAAACCTCTATTTTTTACAGGCTTGAATAGGTTGCAAGATAAAATAAGACCACCAAGTTAAATTTTCATTTCAATAACAAATGATAATTTACTTTAAGCATGTCCCAAATAAGTGTGGGCCACTTGCTAACCTGACTAACTCAGGGAAGGCCTGCCTGGCAGCCTTGCAAACTGAGAGGCCCAAAGTAACCTCAAAGGATGGACTGAAATTAAAATTTTTTAAAGCGAAAAAGCAGTTTAAGGTGGGTAGTCATGTCCTAGGCCAGTATCTTCCCTGACAAATGTCAATCTCTACCTTAACTGAGCCTGCCTATTGTCTTTTTGCATCTAGGCCAGTGATGGTGAACCTTTTGAGCTCGGCGTGTCAGCATTTTGAAAAACCCTAACTTAACTCTGGTGCCGTGTCACACAGAGAAATTTTTTGATATTTGCAACCATAGTAAAACAAAGACTTATATTTTTGATATTTATTTTATATATTTAAATGCCATTTAACAAAGAAAAATCAACCAAAAAAATGAGTTCGCGTGTCACCTCTGACACGCGTGTCATTAGGTTCACCATCACTGATCTAGGATAACATATCGTTGGAATGTCAAAGTAATTTCCCTTTTTCTGGACCCCTCAAAGCAGAGGCACCACTCTGCAGATCCACAGATCTCCTTATTGTTATTAATTGTTGACTGTTAATTATCACACACCCACCTAAATAAAAGAAGTAAGTGTCTGTCATCTTTTTATACAATCCCAGAGGTTTCCCTGCTTTGCTTCCTCCCACCTCCCTCATCCATCACCAATGGATTTCATGTAACCCACTTAGTCTCCTCTTTTGATTATAATGCATAAAACAAGGCGCAAAACTGCCACTCTCTGGAGCATTACTTCAATCCGCTGAGGTTTTGCTTCCCAGCAATTGTCAACAGTTTTGCTCAAATAAACTCACAAAAATTCTTTACAAGATTGAATGTTTCCTATGTTAACAAGCATGTCCTTTTATTTGCTAAATCTGGCAACCCTAACGACTAATGCCATTTTTTTTTCTTAATACCATCAATATTGTGAGTGAACCCACCACTATTTCCATAAGTTTGAGAGCAACTCATAGAAAAGGGAATTTAAAGTTATGAGTAACAAAAGCTAAATCAATTTATTGATTTCACCCATGCAGCACTGTGCAGGCAGGGTGCTCATTAAGGGGAGTTATAAGTGCTTATCGACAGCCATACATCCGGCCCCAGGAAACACCAATTCTTGTTAACTCACAAGGAATTATATTTTTCTAAACGTAACTCTACATTTTTTTAGCAGATCAAAGGGAAAGAACTGGATTGTTTTTCATCATTTTATCTCTTTCTTCATGACAACTTAAATTCCAAGATGCTTCATCAAGTTCAACTGTTTAATCTTTTCTGTGTTAGAAAAACTACAAGCATGGACTAACTCCATCTCTACTAGAAATTTCTTCCCAATTCTCTAATAATACTTCGTTACATTTCCAAGGGCTAGAAAGAGCATTTGCAATGTTAGTTCATTTGTGCCTGACATTTATTTTTGAAATATTAAGTACCTATAATGTACCAGCCACCCTTTTAGATACCAGAAACACAAGACAAGTAAATCAAAACATGTCAACAGTAAAATTTCTACTTCCTTTCAAAAAGCTTGCAGCCTAGGAAGCAGAAAGAACAGGAAGTGTTATTCCCAATGCACAGGTGAGGAAGCTAAGTACTCAAGAATTACAGGGTCCCCTCTAAGGCCCCATATTAGAAATCCTCCCTGGCTCCAATATTTCTTCAGAGGACATCCCACCTAGTATCCTAACTCTTCCACGTGCTCTTTAGGTGGAACAGGTGTTCTCTGGGTGTCCCAGGAAAGCACGGTGTGAGTGGAAGTTAGGATCCCAAGCAGCCTGGTAACCAAGCGAATCTGATGAAACCAGCGCACTGGGCCAAGGAGATGCTGTTTCAATCGGGTGTCACAGGTGACTCATCAGAGGTGGGCTGCTTTGGGGCCTCCTGATATTTTTCTGCAGGGTGAGGTGTCAGATTTCCTTCGCATCTTTTGGACAACATCGCTCTTGTCCATTTCCCAATTTTTCTGGTTTCACAGCCTGCTTTCATACCGGAAGCTAGTCATTGGCAGGAGGTTTAGGGAATGAAGAACAAGATTAAAAAACAAAAAATGAGCTGGGGCCCTGGGAGAGGCCTAAAATGGGGAAATTTGCCCTTTAAGAGCTTCCCCTGCCCCAGCCCCTCAGAATGACAGCTCTCTCGGCTGGAGGACTACCTCTCCTGGCAGGCACTGCGCGCCCCAAGGACACAGGCTGGCTGCCTCTCCGCACTCCACCTCCTCCAGAACCGACCAATAGGAATCCCCGGCTTTGGTCTCCACCCGACCCGGACCACGCGGGAGCGGGGGCAATAAAACTACATTTCCCGAGGCGCCTTGCGCGTATTCTAACCAATCAACGCCCGGAATTCGGAAGCGAGGGGCGGAGCCGGATGCATAGGCCACCCTATTGGCTAGGGGAAGCATAGAAGAGCCGGAACCCGGGAGCGAGAGAAGCGAAATGACATTTCCTCTTTAAATAGCTGGAGCGGGGCCCCGTGGAGAAATGGCCGCGTCGGCAGGTGGGTCGTATCGTGGCTAGGGAGGTGTGTTGCGGGGGAGGCGGGCCGGGGCCAGGCTCGGGCTGGGAGCTGTGCAGGTGGCGATGCGGGGCCGGAGAGAAAGATGGAGAGGTGAAGAGGGATGAGGGAAGGAGATGGATGGCGAGGAGGGCGGTGGGCGGTGCGGTCGGACGAGGATGGGGAGGCCGGGTACCCGACGCCGGTCCGACCTCCCGGGAGGCGGTTGAAGCGGTCCTGGCGGCCGCCGTCCCTCGCGCGTCCCTCGGGAGGCGCGTGCCCGCGGCGCTCGGCCGGGACGGTCCGGCCGTTCGGTCCGCGCGGCCCCTCCGCGAGCGCGGGCTGCGGGCTCGCCGGGCTCCGAGGCGCGCGGACGGGCGCGGGAACCCGCCTCGCAGCTCGCCTCGCCCGGGGGCAGCCTCGCGGCCCCGTTGGGTGGTGGACATGTGTGCACACAGGGGTTTCCGTGCGGGAATAAAACACGCCAAGCCGGCGAACGCACAGTCACTCACACACACACACACACACACACACACACACACCCCACGCCCCACGCCGCCGCCCGCGGCCGCGAACTCCCGTGGTTGTCCGCTTTCTCTCCTAGATGGAAATAAGCCTTCCCCGCCTCCGCCCGGGACGCCGTCCGCAGACGCCGCCGGCGAAGCCGTGGACCCCGCTCACGCGTGCAGTGTTCTTAAGCAGCTCAGAACCATGTACGAGGAAGGCCAGTTGACAGACATTGTGGTGGAAGTGGATCGCGGGAAAGCATTTTCCTGCCACAGAAACGTCCTCGCTGCCATCAGCCCCTACTTCAGGTATGAAGGCGGCGGGGACGGCGAGGGGCCCGGCCCCGCCCACCGCCCCCTCCCGCACCGGCCGCGGATACCGTATGGACGCGCTGCACGGAAATGACACCCAGGAGGTTGTTTCCTGGAAAAGGATAACAGTCCCTATTTTCTTCTTTTTCTTTCTTGTTTTTGACTTGTGGGATTCTTCTAGAATGCAGGTGTTTGTTTGTTTTAAGTTAGTATGTTTCTGTTTGTTTGTTTCAGGTAAATGACCAGAAAATCTAGAATTGTGCTGCCCAGTATGGCAGCCATTAGCCACATGTGGCATCGAAACTTTATTTAAAATCAAACACAATTAAACACTTCAGTTCCTCAGGCACACTGTCCACTTTAAATAGTGCTCAGTAGCCACCTGGAGGCAGTGGCTGCCACCTGCACAGCCCCGATCCGGCATTTCCATCCCTGGAAATGGTATTGGGCAGTGCCCGTCTAGAATTCGTTCCAAACATTTATTCATGTTGCATATTCCTTTAGTGCATGTAACTCTTTTAGAGTTTAAAACATAATAGCCTGTTCTTGTGAAAAGAAACTACTATTAATAGATTGTTTTACTGCCTTGGGGATAAAAGCAGTGAAATAAAAATAAGTGAAATATAGTTTTCTGTGTACCTTATGCCCCAAATAATTATTTCTAAGATTTCGAAGCATTTCAAAGCTAAGTTCTCATTTTCATTTATATCCATCTTTGTATAAAACTTTGAAAATTTAAATTTTAAAACTGGAGTCTAAAATATAATTTCATATTCTAAGAAAAGATCAGTGATAAAGGCAGCTTCCTGCTTGAGTTTAAGTTCTTTTGTTTCAAATGCTCTTTTTTTTTTTTTTTTTAAATCCATTCAATGTCCAATAATGTGCATGAGTGAACAGGAAGTAATTTTCTCAGCCACACTCTTTCCTTTTGAAGGTGCTTACCTTTATAGGGCACATAGCAGTGTAGTGTTCCACATGGTAGTTTATGGTTCCTGTTTCTCAGAACACAGTTAAATATAGTCACTTCCCCCTCATGCTTGTGATGTAACTATTTAGACTTGCTTGGGTAGGTCATTGGACTATTAAGTATTAACTGTCACGAGGCAGTGAGCTGGAAAGGGAAAAAAAAGACACACACAAAAATTATGAAGTTTGGGTTGGTAATGGAAATTACTGGTGAGATTCACTTATCCGGAGTATCCATTAGATTATGGTTAGGGTATTTATGCATAAAAATATTAAAATATATGTCATAATTAAATACTTATCAAGCTCTGGGCTAAGCTTACTTTGCATATATTGCTTTATATCATGTTTAAAACTCTGTCTCTGCATCGTTGTTATTCCCAATCTACATTTGATAAAACTGAGGTGAGGGTGCAGGTTAAGTGGCCTGTCTAAATCGTCTAGGAAGTGGCAGAGGTTGGATTTGATTCCAGAGCCAGGCTTCTTAGTCTCTGTATGGCTTTTAAGAGTATGGGTCCTCTTTAAAGTTGCCCTTCAGAAATTTTTATTACATAAGATTTAAATAGTTAAAAACAAAACAAAACATTGAACTTCAAAGTGAAAATGTCTGTGCCTTACTGAAATGTTATACTGTCCTATATCATTGAATGTCATAATTAATTAAAATTAGTTTTGAAGACCTAGACAAATCACTTTAAAAGAAGTATGCTATAATACATTTTCTTAATTTCTAAGAAATTAGATCTCTGAATTCAAATGAAGATATTTGGCTAGAACACTTAAGGATTAGGTTTTTTTCTCTTGCTTGTCGTTTTTGTACAGAAGTTTCTTGGCACAGTGCAGTTGCGGTGAAATCTGGAAAGTCATACTTAATGGTTTCTAAGTCTTGCATCACTGGTGGAAGCATTAGAATAGCTTGGAATCTGGCATGGCTGTTTCACGATCCCAGTGACTTCTCAGAATTAAAATTCTATGATTACAAAGGCTTTGCTGCTCAGGGTTTTGTGTGACTGAAGTGCTTCTGCTTTACACAGAGTTTACGTAAAGCACCTGTTAGAACCGAGGAGCGCTCATCACGTGTCACACCGCTCCTGCTGGGAGACCCGCCTGTCAGGTCAGCAGTGGTTCCCATGATCAAGGGCCTTGGACCAGTGCGCTCCTTTGGGAGCTCATCTGTGCCTAATGAAGGGCGTTATTTTTCTCTTTAATTGGTAACTGTGTCGCTGAGTTTTTCAGCACCTGAATTGAAAACCAGCTCATACATGGGAACATCTAGTTTTCAGTCATCAAAAAAAACCTGTGTGATATTAAACTTAACATGTACATTGTAGAAGTAAAAATAGGACTCAAAGATGGTTAACCCAGGCGGCAAGCTGGGTCCTTGTGATACCTTGTATACCTCCAGGATTTCTCAGATTGCATTTTTAAATTCATTTGATGGAGACCCAAAGGACTGGAAATCCCCCTATTTAAGAATATTTTCCTTAGCATGACACTTGAAAATAAAATGGGAGGTGAATGGGTCTGTATAGTTAACTTGATCACCAATGTTAGGTTAGTTTTTTTCAATAGACATCTAGTCAGCATTCTAGGGCACGCAGTCCCTTTTTGAAAAGGCTTTTAAAAGAGCTTTGGATTTGATTTTTATATTTTAATTTTAAGAGCAGCTTTGAAAGAAACCTTAAAGGAAGAAAAGAAATACAAATAATGTTTGTAAATAACTAATACTTAAAGAGCCAAGCTTTGGCTATTTAATGTTTAGGCCAAGAAAGGCCCATAAATGCACAGATATAAAAAAAAAAAAAAAAAAAAAAAAAAAAAAAAAAAAAAAAGCTTGGCCTCAAAGGCAAAAGTTTTGGGTTTAAAAACCATTATCTCCAAGAATCAGTTAATTCCTAAATTCCCTTTAGAAGTAGACATTATTATCAGCATACCATAATCTTTATTCACACACAGATATAATAGGTAAAATGTGGCAACTATGAGAATATTACTTATATTTTTTTAAGAGAAGGTTTTCAAAATGTCCAACGGTAAGTCATGCTCTGTATATTCCTTATTATGAATAAGGAAGCATGCACAAGATAGTTTTAAATACAAGTAGGTAGAAAATAAGAACTTATGAAGAGTGATTTGTTTTTCTAAGATGAAAATTTTAAAGATATATTTTGGGAATGAGTTGCCTTGTAAATTTCCCCTGGGACATGAGAAGTTTTGCTAGACAGTCTCTATATGCTAATGCATCACATTAACACCCTATAAACTTTCTGACTGGCCTGGGGATTTAAGATCTCAAGTTCCTAATGCAACTTGACCAGAATCCTGGGTAAGAGCTCTAAGGAATAGAAGGTGTCCTGGAATATTTTGTCTCAGAGCTGGCATAGAGTGGACTGATCCCGGTAAGATTTTTCGAGATTAGTCAGACTACATTTTTCTGCTAGATGAGCAACTTTAATCCCCATTCAGAATATCAGTAAACACATTGGGAAATATTTTTCAGTTTCAAGGGTTATGTCTGTGGTAAATTTATACTGCTAAATATTTGCCACCATAATTTTTATTTATGGAGCACATATAATATTAAGTATTTTTTCCTTCGTAGATCCATGTTCACTAGTGGCCTTACAGAAAGTTCTCAAAAAGAAGTTCGAATAGTCGGTGTTGAAGCTGAATCAATGGAGTTAGTGTTGAAGTATGCCTACACCTCCAGAGTTGTTCTGACAGAGGCCAATGTTCAAGCCTTGTTTACTGCAGCTAGCATCTTCCAGATTCCGTCCATCCAAGACCAGTGCGCTAAGTATATGATCAGTCATTTGGACCCACAAAATTCTATTGGGGTCTTCATCTTTGCTGATCATTATGGTCATCAGGAACTCGGATATCGATCAAAAGAATACATTCGTAAAAAGTTTCTGTGTGTCACCAAAGAACAGGAGTTTCTCCAATTGACAAAAGACCAACTTATAAGTATACTAGACAGTGATGATTTAAACGTGGACCGAGAAGAGCATGTTTATGAAAGCATTGTAAGGTGGTTTGAATATGAACAGAATGAAAGAGAAGTGCACCTTCCAGAAATTTTTGCCAAATGCATACGTTTTCCTCTAATGGAGGATACCTTTATAGAGAAAATTCCACCTCAGTTTGCACAGGCTATAGCCAAAAGCTATGTAGAGAAGGGCCCATCCCATACTAATGGCTGTACACAAAGACTTGGAATGACTGCATCTGAAATGATCATATGTTTTGATGCTGCCCACAAACACTCAGGAAAGAAGCAAACAGTGCCTTGTCTAGATATAGTCACAGGAAGAGTGTTTAAATTATGCAAGCCACCAAATGATCTAAGAGAAGTTGGGATTCTTATATCACCAGATAATGACATTTACATCGCAGGAGGATACCGGCCAAGCAGCAGCGAAGTATCCATTGACCATAAGGCAGAAAATGATTTCTGGATGTATGACCATTCCACCAATAGGTGGCTATCCAAACCACCCTTGCTGCGAGCCAGAATAGGCTGCAAGCTGGTGTACTGCTGTGGTAAGATGTACGCCATTGGAGGGCGCGTTTATGAAGGTGACGGGAGAAACTCACTAAAATCTGTGGAGTGCTATGACGGCAGAGAAAACTGTTGGACAGCTGTTTGCGCAATGCCTGTTGCAATGGAGTTCCATAGTGCCGTGGAACACAGAGAGAAGATCTATGTTCTACAGGGTAGGTGCCTAAGTGGCTTAGTTCTCCACGAAAGGGTAGCAGGTAAAGTTGTCAAATTGTGTTGTACTTACGTTCTTGTTGTGTTTTGACATCATGTGGAATAAGTATTTTTGAAAGCATTCTTTAATAAGTAGTAGTGTAGTATTTTTGAGGACTATTTCTAAGAGCTGTTTTTAAGACTTGAAACAAGAAAGCAAGGTTGATACATGACCTTTTTTTGCTCTTCAATAATATATAATCAGGAGATGTAGCAACTATTTTTCTTATGGAACTTAAAGATTAGTTTAGAAGAGAAAGAACAAAGCATTCACTAAGGATATAGTAATCAATCACCCAAGAATTTTGTGTAAGCTTTATGATTGCAAAGGTTACAAAGTTTTAAATTACAGCCTTCCAATTTTAATTTCAGTGCAGTTTATTTTACCTTCCCTGATATGTTGTTTTCAGTTTTTTTTCCACTGGAAACGTTGAGATGTCACCTTTTTCTTACCTTTAACATTATAAATAAGAGGGAATATTCAATATACGTAGCTTTTTAAAAGATTTTAAATGATATAGGAGAAGTAGAAAAAGAGACTAGGTGAGAATAAATAAGACATTTGTTCCAAGGTTCTGATTTGAGATTACTAATGTTTTCCTTATGTTTGGATTTACACATTTTAGTTGTTTGAATGTTGAATGCAATGTCAATAATACCATCATCCTTATCTCTCTTCTGTGTTTCTTAATTGCTTACATATGAATGTTTTCTGTACTTATAACTTTAATAAAACAAGGAAAAAGGGGCAACTTTTTTGTAGATACACATGAGTTTTTAGTTCTTATCCTCTTGTTTTCTTTAAGTTATGTTCTTTGCTCTAATCCTTTATTTGACTTACATTTTCCTAGCAAAGCTTGAACTTATATATTTAAAGTTCAGTAAAAGTTAATTCTCCAGGAGTAGTGCTCTCTAGTGCCTTATTTTAGTTGAGAAACACAGGCATGATTAAGGTTTGTTGGTCTTGCCGAAGACTGGAATATAAGAATGGATGTATAATCTATTGAGTGTGGTTGTATAGGTTGTAGCATCCAATATGATGAAGCTCTCTTTACATGTATTTTGGTCTTACTGGCTAACCAGTTAGTTGATGAATATAGAATTAATTGTAAGACACTCAATTGGAAGGCAAAGGTTGTATATTAATATAAATACTAAAGCAAAGTAGCATTGAATTAATAGAATTTCAGAGCTGGAATGAACATTGTTTGATCCAAGATTATATTTTATGTAAGAGGAATCTGAGGCTCTGAGGATTTTCTTACCTGCCTATCATTGCTTTTAATTTATTAAAGTGGATTTTTGATTGTAAAAGTCAACTTCCTTTTATGTATCATCTTTGCTTTCCATAAGAAATTTATAGAGGGGTAGTACACGTTAGAAAGTTTTAATTCCTATATTCTTTACTAAGAATCCTGTTAGAAGTTCATTATTTAAGGGCAGGTGATGTGCAAGTGAAGGCAGGGAGTTTAACAAGCTATTTTAAGAAAAATTGAAATTACAGCATCACTATTAAGCAGACAGCTAAATTTGTAGATCAGAGTAAACCTAGTTCAAAACAGTTTTCAAGGAGAAGCTCAATTTAGAAGTAGGTATTTCTAATCTAAAAGCCTCTTTATATAAATAAACTTGACATGAGTAGTCAGAAGCTTATGTAGGTATTTAATCTGTTCATAAGGGTTCAGATTTTTATATCGAGGATTTTATAGAAATGTTATAATTAGCTAAACTCCTATAAGTCTTCACTAGTTGAATTCTTTCAGACATTTTAATATTAGCAGTCTGACTCAGCACACCCTTTTACTGTTAAAATAGAATTGAAACAGACTCAAAGTCACCTCTATAAACTATGTGTGTGTTTTCTATCATGTAAAGCATGTTTTCACCTCTTGAATATTTGTCTTTGCATTATGGCGATATTAAAAGGAACACATAAGTGCACCATAGACACAAACCTGAACAATTTCATGTACTATCTTCTAATTAAATAAATAAGGAGCAAATAAATTTATAGTGGCTTATTCTTGATCAAGCTGTATATATACTTTGACCTCACCGGCTAACCATCTATAATAATCAAAGCATAATATGCTAATTAGACCAGATGTCCTTTTGGAGGAAGCCGAGGCTGCGAGGGAAGCCAGTGCTGGCAGCCGGGGAAGGAAGGCCTGCTCTTGCACAGGCCTCGAGTTAGTAATAATGCTTATGTAGAACTGGCTTAAAATAAATTTTCTGAAATATATAATTGGATAGAATAAATGGAAACAAGGTCTTTTTTTTTTTTTAGTTTTTTAGATGATCTTTACATGTATTTTGGTCTTTCAAAGTTTTTATTTATTGATTTTAGAAAGAGGAAGGAAGAGAGGAAAGGGAGCAGGGAGCGGGAGGGAGGGTGAGAGAGAGAAAGAGAGAGAGAGAGAGAAACACTGATTTGTTGTTCCACTCATTTCTGCATTCATTGTTTGCTTCTTGTATGTGCCCTGACCAGAGATTGAACCCACAACCTTGGCGTATGGGGACAACACTCTAACCTTTGCTACTTGGCCAGGTCCAAACCAGGGTCTTAACTATTGTTCTGCCATCAAGCCAAAATCACTCCTCACCTCTCCCCATTATGAACACTCCCAATTCAGGCTGACTATAATATTCTGTGTTATCTTGTGCCTTGGAACAAAGAAGTTTTAGGCTATTTTATAAATAATGTATTTCTGGAGATTATAAAAGCAATATTTTAGAAAGTGAAATATTTGAAAAATAGTTTTTTAGTCTTCAACATGCAACCCAAAAGAGACAGGTAAATGTACATAATCTTGTTTTCTCTTTTTCTTTTTCTTTTTTTAGGAGAATTTTTCCTCTTCTATGAGCCTCAAAAAGACTACTGGGGTTTTTTAACCCCTATGACTGTGCCTAGAATCCAGGGCTTAGCAGCTGTATACAAAGACTCTATCTACTACATAGCTGGAACCTGTGGAAATCATCAACGCATGTTTACTGTAGAAGCCTATGACATTGAGCTAAATAAATGGACTCGTAAGAAGGACTTTCCATGTGATGAATCCATCAATCCATACCTTAAACTGGTACTTTTCCAGAATAAACTTCATTTATTTGTTCGAGCTACTCAAGTGACCGTTGAGGAACATGTCTTCAGAACCAGCAGAAAAAATTCTCTTTATCAATATGATGATATCACTGACCAGTGGATGAAAGTATATGAGACCCCAGATCGGCTCTGGGACCTTGGCCGGCATTTTGAATGTGCTGTTGCTAAACTCTATCCTCAGTGTCTTCAGAAAGTACTTTGAGTAGCCGGCCTTAGGTAGCTCACTGACATCTACTGCTTGAGGAAACTTAGTCTTTCAATGGTATAAGAAGTGCTGTCAGTATTTAAGAAAGCTGAGGGTTTGTGCACGGAGTGAGTGCTCTGAAAGATTACAGTGTAGGGAGGGATGTCTTTTCATCTTTATGATGTTTTCATTTCAGTAGCAAAAGGTAACAAAGTGCAATTATCAGCTTTCTTTTTCTGGTATAAAAACAATCATTTTCATTCTAGAATTTCGTGATAGTCTCTGAGATACCAGATGAATTAATAACTATGCAGTCTTATAAGAGCAATTAGGTATTATTGGTTAGAGTCATCCAAAATAGTGTGTGATGTGACTTTTATTTTAAATACGGGTAAAACTCTGAGGCAATATCACTAGGACTTTAGCTGTGACCTCTCCAACACAGAGAAGCACTAAACTTAGATTCTCATTTTTAATATACATATATATATATATATATATATATATATATATATATATATATATATATATACAGCTTTCAAGTGTACTGAGGTTTAAATGTGTTCTGTTATTAGAGTAAATCGAAGGGAAAAACAAATCATCTCAGAAAGAACTTTCAGTCTAATTATTTCATCATATTATTTCCCATATAGCTTTAAATTAAGCTGAAGTTTTAAAGTAGCTGTTTTCTGTTGATAATTTTTTCACGTGCTAACACTGTCTTATTTAAAAAATCCTGAGAAGGGTTCACATTCACAGGTGGCTGGTGCTAGCATAATAAGTTCATTCGTGTGTTTAGCTAGATAGATTTCAATTGTCTGAGCCTATGCCTACCTTTCAAGTTGGTACGAGTTCTATGGCCATCATACTTTACTGTTGAATTCTTGTGATTTCACAAGATTCTCTACTTACATGATAGCAAGATATGGCCAGTTATTGGTCTAACTCAGTCTTAGAATAGTGAGAAGATTGAACATAGTTTGCACTAACACAGGCCATTGTTACCTGACCTCCTTTTCCATCCTCTACTTGTCTAGTCTTAATCGGTACAATGAAAGGTAACTTATTTCTGCACAGAGCATAATGTGAAGTTTTATACCTACTTTTAAAATTCTGTTTTACAGAAACAAAACTCCTGCAGTGGTTGAATTTAATGGCTTTTAAGTTACATGTGACAATTAAAACCTCATTTTCTTTTTAAGTTTTGCACTTAACAGTGATAAATATTTTTACATTGAAAACTTTGCTCTAGCTGAAGGTGATTCAGAAGGAAAAGAGTGAGTGAATAGGACCATAGCATTATAGGTACTAAATCATGTTTCATATTTAACAGATGAATTTCTAACAATCAGTTAGGAATATTCTCATAAAGGACAAACCAACTCATTCATAATACCTTAGGTAGATATTTGGATCAGTAACTTATTTTTTACTATGCCTAGAATAATCAGTAAAGGATACAGGTATAGTGCAGAGTCTGTCATCAACTAGAATATTTTGATTTTCTTAAAGAAAACAAATTGGCATGGTTTGTATTAGAAACTCTTGTACAAATTGTGATGTGATACTGTGAAACAATTTTAAAACATTGCCTCTTTGCATCACATACCTCGTTTTTCAGAAACTTTCCAAACTTAGACCTCTACTGTAGGAAATGTTTTCTGAAGAAGAATTCAAAGTAGACAGGATTTATAGAATTAACATTTTAAAATCTAGCCTTGTAAAGCTAGATATGTGGTTCTTTTTCTTACTGGCCTTGAGAATGTATATATAATCTCTTTATAAACTTTGTCAACCAATAACCTTTTTTTCTTCCCAGTTTTTCCTTCATCTTTATGCTGTTTGGGGACTATTTCTGTGAGTTTTTTCAAGCATCTTTAAAGTGTTGCAGTGCAAAGGAGAAGAAAAAACAGAAGTAATTAACTTTTGCAAGAGATGTTCATGTAATTTATTTTGAAAGCTTTGTTGAGTAGCTAAGATTTCCTGATGCTTTTTGACAATCTTCTGTATTTATTTAGGAAAAATACGTTACTTGAAAATATGACATAGAACGCTGAGTTAGTAATTTACATGTGCCGTGTGACCAATAGGAATACAACATGCTGTGGTCCCACAATAGATTTTTTTTCTGTTGATCTGCACAACAGTTGATACTTTTACTATAAAAATTTATGTTGGGAGTGTGATCTAAGTATAGTGTGTCAAAGCCAAGGTTTAGAATTTGCTACGAAAATAGAATATATGTTGAATTTTGTATGAATAACTATTTGTTTAAGTTATATAACTAGGATACTTTGCCACTTTTTAAATGATTTGGATATGAAACGAAGATGACTAAGAAAACTAAGATGAGTAATATGTGTGAATATATGTTTAGATAGTGAAGGTACATTTGCATAGTATGTTAAGAATATAAGTAAAATGCACAATGGGACCGAAGAATTAAATAAAATAAAGGTCTAAAATATGCCCGTCCCACTTTAACTTTGTTTTTACATTTGAAGAACGTATGTAGCACTTTCCTATATAGTTTTTAGACATTAAAAACTGGACTTGGTATAACTATATTATAGGAAAGTTTTAATTGTATTTTTTAGTTTCCCACCTTTGTTTTCTGTTATCCTGCAAAGTTGATGCATAAGATCAAGCTCATCTCATTGGTGCATGAAAAAAAGTGGAAGTGATCCGCAAGGAATCAGATTCCCTGTGTGAAGCAGTTTAAATGTCATTCAATGTTCAGTGCTCAGGTATGTAGTAAGTACTGTAGTCCTTTGGGGGCAAATGTGTAGATATTTTTAAACATTTTGCCAAAATTGCACAGTTTTTTGCATTTTTACATGATGGCATTGTTTCTTATAATAAAACTTTTTTTCTGATTGAAAACTTCCATTGTAAAATGACCTCTGATTAATGAATTTGCAGAATGAATATTTGGTGAAAATCAGGAAATACCTTATGTCATGGTGGACTAAAATGAGATTTTAATCTATCAAATATTTGGCTTCTGGTGCAAAATGAGCTAGTTAATATCACATTATATAATGCTCTTTAAATTCTAAAGCAAGCTTACTTATATTGGTAACCGCTTTGTTCCATTTGTTCTGGCCTAACCTCTTATTATTCCACTCCTCTCTCTTATATTTCATATCCAATCCATGAGAAAAGCCTATTGCCTCTTCCTTTAAAATATACCCAGATTCTGATCAGTTACCACTTGCACCACTGTCACAGTAGCCTAAACTAGCCTGCCTTATCGACCTGAATAAATTCGCTAGTCTCCCTTTGTCACCTTTTTTTTTTTTTTTTTTTTTAAATATATTTTATTGATTTTCTACAGAGAGGAAGGGAGAGAGATAGAGAGTTAGAAACATCGATGAGAGAGAAACATCGATCAGCTGCCTCCTGCACATCCCCCACTGGGGATATGCCCGCAACCCAGGTACATGCCCTTGACCGGAATCGAACCCGGGACCCTTCAGTCCGCAGGCCGACACTCTATCCACTGAGCCAAACCGGTCTCGGCCCTTTGTCACCTTTGACCCCCAGTAAGCTATTCTGTTCTCTACACAGTAGCCAGAGTGACCCTGTTGAACTGTAAATCAGTTATGTTCCTCCTGCTCAAACCCCTCCAATGGCTTCCCATCTGCCTTTGTATGAGAGCCGGACTCTTTTCTTACATGATTTACACCTCCAACCCCACCTCTTGGACCTCATTGCCATTCCACCAGGTCACACTGCTGTTCCTCCAACATGCCAAGCCTTTCCAACTCATTTACTTTATTCAAGCCTATTGAAATTCCATAGAGGCTTCCCTGACCACTTTATGTAAAAAAAAACACCTTTCTTCAGACTCAACCCCCCATCCATACCACCTGTTTTTTATTGCTTTCTTTTTCATATATCTTCCCCCACGGAGGTGGAAGCTCCATGCAGACTAGGAATTGGTTTTATTCATTATGTACCTCCGATCAATGCCTACTGTATACGAGGCAGTCAACAAATGTTTATAACAAGAAATGAATTTTCAGATAAGTCTTAAAGCAACCTGAAAAATGGTAGGATTGGTAGTATCTATTTTATCGGACAGGAAACACAAAGACCAAGTGAATTGCCAAAGGGGCTCACCTGGGATAAGAATCAGGGTTTTCACTTCCACCCTAACCTAGTTCCTACATGCTACATTAGTTCCAAACAAAATTGATAGGAAAGGTAGATGTGTTGTATCTTGTGTTTAATGATTACTTTTTTTTGAGTCTCAACTTTTCTCCTACACTATTATTTAAAACTAGTGTCCCGGTATATGGATTCGTGCACATTGAAAGGAAATTAATTAGAAGAAATACTTTATCGCTATTCACCCTTTCTCTATAATAGAAGTGTCAAATAAATTTATAATTGACAATGACAGATGGCAACACACACATGCTATTGGCGCCAGCGAGAGCTCTATATGTAACGCACAAGTGTGAGTCAACATAGCCTTTTATAGATATAGAATAAACTTGTTTAATTAGACCTGCTTTCTGATTTAGCTAAATTTTTTCTAGCCCAGTGAAGCATCTCAACTTCTCTTTCAGGTAATTGTCAGTAACACAGCAGTAAATATCAACATGAAGCAGATTATTATGTAGATCACACAGGGAGAACAAAGGGTAAAATACTTAACTGTAGCAGTGTTTGACTATATTCTGCACAGTGAGAAAACCTGAAGTCATTTTCAAGTTCCACCATTTTTTACTTCTTTTCAGTTGAGTCAAGTTTCTAAACTTTCTAAATCTCCATTTTCGGGCTAATGAAAAGAAAATGGGATTCTACCAGTCTATCTACTCCAGGACTTCTGTGAGGATCAACTGAGATGAGGCACGTGAAAATGCTTTACAGACATTTGGTTAAAGTGTAAAATGTTTGCACCTGGCTATAAAGCAAGTCGTGTTCCTGGGCTGAAGAAGCTCCAAGGCGGCTAGTGGCTAGCTAGGGAGAGGAAGCTGGGCGTTGCTATGTGACATCATTACTCAGCACTCACAACCACCGTTTCCTGGCTGGACTGAGCTGTGGGCCACATTTTGTGCCATGGGGTCTTCGCAGCATTGGCTGCGATTTGGTGGGTGTCGCTCTAGGGTGGTGGCGGGGCCTGTGTCCCACTTGGGGGAAGCTGAGTGTTGGCTTGTCGGTGCCAGGTGTGCGGTGCTGTTTCTTTTTAAATGGCCAGTGCGTGTCATGGCAGCTTCTGCGTTGAGCGCCTGCCCCCTGGTCAGTGCATGTCATAGCTACCGGTAGGATGGTCGGAGGGACACTTGGGCTATTATATATATGGATATCTACTGTAGTTTAGCTGATTAATTCTCAATGAGGGAGTAGATGAGGTAGGAAAATACTTTCTCTTTGTTGACCCACTTACACCCCACCATCATGCTAATTATGAGTTCTGTCCCTCAAATAAGTTGAAGAGAAACAAAAAGAAAAGGCTTGTGAAATACTAGAGTGTAGTCATGCACCACATAATAACTTTTCAGTCAACAATGGGCCGTTTATACAATGGTATTCCCATCCTATATAATAAAAGGCTAATATGCAAGTCAACAAAATGGCAGAATGACGAGTCACTATGACATGCACTGACCACCAGGGGGCAGATGCTCAACGCAGGAGCTGCTCCCTGGTGGTCAGTGTGCTCCCACAGCGGGGAGAGCCACTCAGCCAGAAGCCAGGCTTATGGCTGGCAAGTGCAGCAGCGGTGGTGGCAGCCTCTCCCACCTCCATGAACGCGCTAAGGATGTTCGACTGTCGGACATCCCCTGAGGGCTCCCAGACTGCAAAAGGGTGCAGGCCGGGCTGAGAGTGCAGGCTGGGCCTCTAGTAAGGTTATAATGGAGCTGAAAACAATTCCTACCACCTAGTGACAGAGCCATTTAATATCACAGCACAACATATCACTCACATGTTTGTGGTGATGCTGGTGTAAGCCTGTGATGCCAGACATATAAAAGTATAGTACACACAATAATGTACAGTACTTAATACTTGATAATGATAAAAGATTATGTTACTGGCTTATACATTTGCTATACTAGTATTTTTATTTTAGAATGTACTCTTTTTACTTATAAAAAAGGTTTGCTGTAAAACAGTATGCCATTATACCAGCAGCAGCCTCATGAATCTCGTGGTTACCTTGTCTCTGGGTTTTATTATTTTCTCTTACGCTTGATTTAACCTGATATTGTTTTGTTAAGTTACATCGCTGCATAGGCTTGTAGCTTAGGAACAACAGACTATACCATTGGCCAAGGTGTGTAGTAGGCTGGTCCATACATTCTCCTCATAAGCAAAACCTGTAGAAAGAGGCTTCCCCCTCCCTATCTGCCTGGTCGAGTTATTCCAGGGCCAGTGGGCACCTTCATGGGGCGGGTGGGAGGTTTCATCATTGGCATGTGCAGCCTCATTCCAGGAGGAGGAGGGGCAGTCATTGGCATCATGGGAGCCCCACCCCCCACCCCCCTGGAGTGCTGGCATTATACCAGGGTGAGGACGACCCAGAAAACTGGGGGAGGTGGGATCAGTGCTCCTGCAGGAGGAGAGTGGAATGGAGTAGAAGGTATCTTTCCTTGCTACAGTTGTTTCGTCAATCAAGCTCTGAGCCTGCTCGTCCATCCATTTCTGATAGTAGCCTTTTACATTCTCTTTGTTTCCGACCACTGCAGTGTGTCTTTCTCATAGATCGAGAGTCACAAGTGAGGTATGTATTGTAGTCATCACAATAAAACTCGGGCATTTTGTTCTGCCTACAATATATATATTTTAAACTAAGGTCACCTTCATGTGCAGTGCAGGTATCTTACAACAGAGTTCCCAATCCTTTCTTTTCATCCCTTATGACAGGGGTCCTCAAACTTTTTAAACAGGGGGCCAGTTCACTGCCCCTCAGACCGTTGGAGGGCCGGACTATAGTTTAAAAAAAAACTATGAACAAATTCCCATGCACACTGCACATATCTTATTTTGAAGTAAAAAACCAAAACGGGAACAAATACAATATTTGTATTTGCATGTGGCCCGCGGGCCGTAGTTTGAGGAGCCCTGCTTTATGACATTATTACTCAGTTCACTTATCCTTATGCTCTAACCACTCAATATATTTTGACTATTTTTAAAGTCTTTCCTTCCTGATGCCGCGACTCTTCAATACAGTGCCTCATGTTGTGGTGGCCCCCAACCATAAAATTATTTTTATTGCTACTTCATAACTGTAATTTTGCTACTGTTAATAATCGTCATGTAAATATCTGATATGCAGGATGTATTTTCACTGTTCGCGACCCACAGGTTGAGAACCGCTGTTAGATCAATTAATACAAAAATTAAAATATTTTGTTTTGCCGTCATCTATTGCCTTTTCTGACACTGTTTATTTCTTTATGTAGCTCTAAGTTGCTGACCTATATCATTTTGCCAGTTTCTGGAGAACTTCGTTTAACCTTGCTTACAGGGTAGGTCTGCAGTGATGAATTCCTTCAGATTTCTGCTTCATTTTTAAGGATAATTTTACTGGATCTGGAATTCTAAGTTGGTGGGGCTTTTAGTTAAACCTTTTAAATATTTTATTCCACTCTCTTTTTGTTTGCATAGCTTCTACAGAGAATTATGATGTAATTCTTGCTCCTTTGTAAGGCTTATTTTTTTATTTTCTTTTTCTCTTTGGTTTTCTTCAGCTCAAATATGATATGCCTATGTAAAGTTTGTTGTTATTTATACTGCTTGGTGTTCTCCGAGCTTCCTATGTCTGCAGTTTGGTGTCTGTCATTAATTTCAAAAAATTATCAGTCACTATTATTCAAATATTTCTTCTGCTTCCTTCTCTCTCTCTTTTTTTTCTCCTGTATATG